ACCTAAGTCAGGGCATGGCTAACTCACAGATCGAACCCTGAAACAACCTCTGGGCTGATCTAAGTCAGGGCATGGCTAACTCACAGATAGAACCCTAAAACAACCTCTGGGCTGATCTAAGTCAGGGCATGGCTAACTCACAGATAGAACCCTGAAACAACCTTTGGGCTGATCAAAGTCAGGGCATGGCTAACTCACAGATAGAAGCCTGAAACCACTTACCTCTGGGTTGATCAAAGTCAGAGAATAGCTATCTAACCGATCGAATTGGAATTTAGCATATTAGTTTTTGAGAAGGGAGGAAAACCGGAGAACCCGCACAAAAACCCTCAAATCTCGGGAGAGAGATCTTACTCACATGTAATGCTGTGTCCAGGAACTAATCAAGCCTGAGACCCCAGAGATGAGAGGCAAGTGTACAACCGCTACGCCATGTCCGTTGATTATCTCAAATTCGTATGACGTAGTTCGACTTTTTTTAAAGTTTAAGGCTTTTTTGAGGAAGTACTAGAAATGTAATCGCGTCTTAAATAAGATTCCCGTGCGACGAAGAGCGTCACATTGAAGTTGAGCGCAAGTGCACACGAAATGGCCACTAGCGGCAGATCCATCCATATCCTCGTTAGCTGATAAGGATGTCTATGTACCGATATGTCAATCCACTCTGACGTCACGAATAATGATATCAGAAAAAAATCTCTCCGCTAATCAAACTTGTGCGAGACAACGTCAAGCGCTAGAAATAAACACAGATGCCTGAGATAAAAATCTAATGTCGTTCTACTGAGTCCAGGTCAAAGTGCAGAGTAAACTATAAGAGGAAGCTAACTTTAAATCTGTTTTTTTTAAGATAATTATTCGGGCTTCCTGTGTAATGCCCGAGGAATAATTTGCCGAAGTCACAAATCGCTATTTGATCTATAAAGCGCATGCGCTCTGTGCCGCTGAGTGAAGGCTCGGAATTCGTCTTTTCCGAATAGATTGGAGTTTTGTCAAACTGAAATGTAACTTCAAATGTTGAATAGGATCCGTTCGCATTTGAGCAAATTGTTATTTGTTTTGCAAAAATATCTGTCAACGCGAGGCATTTATAAGTGCGAACGCAATTTTTTGTTCTTACCACATTTTGTCTTATCTTCCCAAACTTCAAAGACGCCGTCGGCCTACTTCGAAATTTTGTCAAATGTCAACAGAATGAATACAGTGAAAAGCGGTAAAATCGAGGCATTTAGGTTAGTAACACTAGCAGCTGTCTGTCTTGAATCGAGAGTAGATTTTACCAAATTTTTACTAAGATTTTGTATCGAGCTCAGAAGCGATACGCTCTCTATCGGCAGATAGCATTAAATTTTGATTAACATAAACGGTTTGCGGAAGATTTTGGTGTCTCAGTAGCGCGAAACGGGCCAAACAATTTTTGGCCGAACCAAAATTTGGTCATGACTTGTGCCCGACAGTCTGTAATCATAAAAACGTGGCTAGTATTTAGAAGCTAGGAAAGCTAGTAGCTCGGAAACCCGAGTTGGTATTGGGTTCCTTTTTTTCACTAAATTAATATGTGTAAAGATTTTGACATCGAAATAAGGCTTAACAATCCCAGGTGCGTCTGTAATCAAGTTAGTCAGCAATATTTTGGGAATTGAAACTAAAAGAGATGAAAAAAAGTTTTGTTGTTTCAAATGTTAATAAATCTTCAAATTTTAATGGATAATTTAAGGTTAATGATCTTAGATGGCGCCAAACGAATGACATTAGAAAAATCCTCTAAAAGACTTTGCAATGTAAGGATAAAATCCACTAAGTTCAATATATAACCGAGTAAAGTCTAATGAATAATGGCATAAAAAACGTCTTACTTTCTGACAAATATTCCAATAACATCCTCTAAAAGACATCGTTCTGAGTAAGAATTAGTTCCCTCAGCCGGTCAATGAAAGTAAAAGTTCTTCAGCAAACTGCAAGAGCTTTTTAATACATCCTGTATTTTCACTTTAAAAGAAGCTTAAAGTGCTTGCTAATGCTTGTTTTTATGACGATAATCACTAATGCATTTTATTTTCTGTTTTGAAATAATAATCAATGTCAAAATCGCCTGATTTTGCAGGATTTCCATTAGAAAACACTTGAGGAATTAAATCATTTGACTAATGCAAAGAAGTTTAAAAAACAAAATGTTATTCGTGGAAAATTCTAATTAAGATTGAGTCTCGATGAGTCGAATTAACGTTTGAAAATTAATCTGCCGACTGGCCAACATGGACAATCAAAGATTAACCCAACTCAAACTGCTGGTAAATTGTTAAATTTTTTCTTCTTAAAAAAATGATATAAAATTAATAAATTTGCTTTTAAGTAAGGAGTAATCAGTGCTCAACGTTGTCCGTATTAATTCTTCTAGGAACCAGCAAGGTTTTTTAAGTGGTGGCTTGCTTCGGAAAATGTTTACAGGGTTTACAAAATAAACTAAGTCGTGTCTGTAAAATATATATATATTTGTGTTTCTCAGTTAAGCTATAAAACAAACAATGGTAAATATTGGAGTACTGGATAGAGCGTCAAACGAAAATCTTTTCGGCTCTTACAAGACCGAGAGCTTGAAATTCCAGTTTACTTTCTGCAGGTGAGGTCGTCACATAATTTCTTCCTCGTCTAATGAATACCGTTAATTTAAAAACAAATTAAGTACAGCAAATTCGGTCCAAATCATTAATGATTTGAATGCTTTAAAAGAAAAATACTTATAGGCCGCGTATTTAGTGTTAACACTATTAATGATGGAAAACGAGATCAAGTCTTATTCTTTTGCTTAATTAAATGAATTTAGCAGATTGAGATAATGAAATTATAGTAATTTTTTTTTTTTTTTTTTTTTTTTTTTTTTTTTTTTTTTTTTTTTTTTTTTTTTTTTTTTTTTTTTACTTTTATTTTATTTTATTTTATTTTTCATATATCTCGAATAATTTGAAATATTATATGAACTTTATGGCTATTTAAAGCAGTTATAACACATTTAATCGTATTTACGATAGATGAACGGCTAGAGACACAGATGACTAAGGATTATTTATGGATGATAATCGATGGATATATCTTTCGGGAAAACTCCGAACCAAAATTAACATTACTATTTATCTTTCTTTTGTATCCTGAGTTATATCCTGAGTCTTCATCGTCAAACTTGTAAAATATTTACAGAAAAACTAAAAAAAATACGAGTTATGGGGAACAATCCTGGAACTAACCTTTATTGGTGCTAGAACTCTTGCTCCTTGGGCGAGTTGTCGTAGAGAAAGCCAAATTATCCCAGATACCAGCTCACAGGAGTGATATCTTTGATGCTATCGGTTGAACGTCGCTTGCTTCCTCTCGTCGTGTTTAGGATAAATAACCGAGTTGATCGAAGACGTCAGAAGCTCTGTCAAACTGCAAAAAGCAAAAAAAAAAAAAAAAAAAATCAAGCTCTCAGGATATTCTACTCAGCATTGACATATTTTTGATTATTTAGCCAAAAATTGTACCAGGTTTAAAACGATAGCATTGGCTATCTTTAGATAACCGATGGGAGGTGTCAATCACTTTCAATAACTTTGCGGTAATTCAATTCGGCGCAAGACAATTAATGTACTTATCGAATGACAAAAACAAATACCAGCTTGTTTCCCGTGTGTTTTTAGCCGAGAAATACTAAAAAGCGCTTCTAGTATTATATTTAATCAAACAATATTGACAATTTCAAAAACAATCAAACGAACTGGGGCGAGTTTCGAATTTTTTTTAATTGCTCAAAAATGAGCAAGGGACTGGGGGGAGTTTTGAATTTTAATCTAATTAGCATACAAAATTATCAATTGTGCAAAATATCTTAATGTGAGTAAGTATGACAAATGTAAACGTGTTTCGTTAGTTTGAAACACATTTGCTTATATTTTTTGCTAATAGATTAAATTTCAAAACTCGCCCCAGTCCCTTGCTCATTTAAAAAAATGGCCGACCAGTTTTTACTTGATTGTGGAGTGACTGTTATTCTATTAATCATCAATGGAAAGTAAAATCTTTCAACGTTTTTATCCTTTTGTCCGAGTGCAAACTTCTTTATATGGCATTTCAGTTTTCAAGTTAGTAATAATATATAACTTTCTATCCCAAATTATAATCCCTTTTCCAGCTGACAGAATATAATAAAGAACGTTCTACATAAATAATATATGCTAAAGTAGTTCACTATCAGTTGTCATTGAAGTGAAGAGGTTGTTCAGCAGCAAAAATCATTCAAGTCAAAATGATTTGATATCCGTACCACACTCATAATGGTTCATAACAATACGTTATCATTATTTTAAAGACATCTACTCTCCGGCATTTCCTCTTAAAGCATCCAACAATACAGTACAATACGAGTCTAAAATAGAAAAGTGGAATACGCCTAAAGATAAAAGCGAAACAGTTAGATGAAATGCGTGCTTCAAAATTTCACTCCAGAAACTTTACACGCGGATCTTAACACCCGTTGAAGTCCCTTGGCAGCTGGTAACTTCAGTTTTGAATCATCATTTAGAAATATAACATAGCCTATAGAATATATTTTTAAGCACGCCATGGAATATGTGTGGCGAGTATATTGCTATATTGGATGGAATGGGATATGTAAATATAACATAGCTTTGAATAATAATTTCTGGTCAGTTCGGACTAATTCTCACAGAGATATTCTGAGAGAAAAGAGAGAAAAGAGACATCGAAATGAAAGTGAGGGTACTCAACCGATACACATTCGTATCACCAATAAATAAATAAAAATATCAATAAATAAAACAGTATATCTTGAAATTTTGATTATTGGAATCCTTTCACTGATGCAATTACTTTAACGCGTCGTTGTCGGGGAAACGAAATGATTTAAAGTGATCTATGTCGCGAGTGTGATTTGTTCAATAGACTGTGATATAGCATATACCTATTTCAATAAACGTTGTCATCGCCAAAGGCGATAAGCGATAGGCAAAAAGCGATATGCAAATAGGTCATTCCAATATCCAACAATAGTTTGAATGACTTATGTGTTTCTGTTAGATATTCTCTTCAAGAACATGTACCTTTGTGTTGAGACTGATTCAATGTTCTTTGAATTTAACGAAGCCATTCCTATGTTGGAATAACCTATCGCCTATCGCATTTGGCGAAGACAACGTTTATTGAAATAGGAGTATATGGTTGGAATGCAATAGTCGAAGTAAAGGAGAGCGAAAATTATTCTTAAAAAAACTAGTGTATATAGAGTGCAATACTCAGGTTCAAGTTACTGACACTGTTAGAGCAGACCGATAAGGTGATTACTTAATGTATCGCAAGCACTAGATGCAAAAATGACCTTGGGATGGTACAGCAAACATAGATCTAATTACTGTGAGCGTAGAGATCAGAGAATACATGTGATATAGGAAGGATCTAAACCCCTGCAATGTAGCTCTTACCCTTTCCAGTCGCACAAGAAAATAAAGTAGCTTTGATGCTTTCTAAACTGCCGTATTCCATGATAACCTACTTGCAGTTATAAGCAGCTTCGTGTGTTGGCCAATTAGCAACTCTTTTCGATCCGTTTACAAGGATAGGTTGAAACAACGAGATTTCCAGTTCTTTATATTTGTCAACCTCGGCTCTGGAGAAGAGGGTATTTAGCTTAACTCTATTGTCAGATGTCAAGGATCTTCGAATAACCAGATGCAAAGCTCAGCCACATAAAATTCTAGGGATGTGACCATTTTCTAGCTCTATTAACATTAATAATCGGTTCAACAAGCTAAAAATTATCAAAGTTTCATTTACCATTTGCCTTGGAAGTTCAAGATTGAAGATCATTCAGTCCAAAAGCAAAACAAGTAAAGTTTGAAGACGTCTTCTTCGACAGGCAACTAGTATTCTAATATATATATATATATATGTATCTATATTATGTCAGGACGAAAATGAAATTTACATTCGTTAGTTTCGATACGATCCAAATGAAAAGATGACATTCACACTGTCAAAGACTAGATAGCTATTGTATTCAGGCAAAAAGCACTTCGATTCATCTAATACTGAGTAAACGAATCTCATTAACAAATCCATCAACCATGTAGGATGTGAAAAGTCAAGTGCTTTTGTAATGAAAATTCAAAATATTTTGATCAAAACACGAAGAAAATACAGAAGATCATGATGATGATTGTATCTGGAAAATACTATATATAGCAAACTACGAGAAATCCTTATTAATTGCTGTAGTAATAAAACAAATATTGGACTGGTTTCTGTAATGACCTTTTTAAAATAGCCGATAAAAATATCGACTTTAAGAATACATCGACCAAAACAAAAGAACATTGTATTAGTGGATAGCTATAATGTACAGCTATTTCAAAAAGGTTGAATGCTGAATACTGCATACTGAATAGTGCTTTCCAAGAACAAAGTGCATTGTGGGTCATAGTGACATTGTCTAAAGTAGGATTAATAATAATTATTTATTCTATTTTTAGTTTATTCCATCTGAAACAATATACTAACTACATGTAAGAAGTTAATTGCTGTATATTTACTTTTTATTTCAAATTAACGAGACCCACAATTCCCTTTGGTCTTGGAATGCACTATTCAGTATGCAGTATGCAGTATTCAACCTTTTTGAAATAGCTGTATATTATAGCTATCCACTAATACTATGTACTACTAAAGCAATACTCGTTTGAGACATTACTTATACTGCTGAAGCCTGGATAGCGCTATCCAATCAGGGATAAATCCTTATCCAGTGGATAAGTCAATGCTGTTATCCAATAGATTTATCCACTGGATAAGATTTATCTGTCGGATAGCGCTATCCACCCTTCGTACAACCGGGCCATGATATGTCTCGCGGAATGAGAATTTTCATTAAAACTAGCGCGATAACTATAGTCTTTGATTTCTGGCTGATTAGACAGATATATGCTAGGGAATAAGGAGAATCCAATGTACCGATAATCGTGTTGTGGTATATGTACGAATATGTTTTCGGTGCTGACCAAGAGAAACGCAGGCTCTGGGAACAAGATTGGAAATGAATACCAATTAGAATTTTGAAGTTGTTTTTTGTACCTGCCACGAAGCAAGGGTAAGAAAGAGTGAAAGAAAGGAATGGAAAATAAAAGAAATTAAAGTGGAAATCAAACCAGAAAGGAAGGAAGGAAGGAAGCAAGGAAGGAAGGAAGCAAGGAAGGAAGCAAGGAAGCAAGGAA